GAGGTTAATTGATTCAGCACAGCTTATCCAATGCAGCAATGAACAAGAGAAAAACCTATCTAATTTTTTACCAGATTGTGAACAGAAGACTGTGTTTCACACAGTCTCCCAGGAGGCAAGGTGATGAACTAATCATGTTGCGATCTACGGGGTCACAGCAAATAATTAAGACACTTGTTACAGTGGTCTGTGTGGTGTGATCCTGTAGCGAGTCAGAATGGATTTTCCATAAATTCAAGAAAAGGTCCTTTAAAATCTTAATTTAAAACCTACATTATAGCTAATTAAGAACAGTATGGCTCAAACTAATGCATCATTTCACATTTAGTGTATTGATAATCCTGAGTAGCGGGAAGAGAGAAAACCTTTTTTTTTCTCCTGTCCTTAGCTCTTCCAATATCTAAAGTGTTTGCTGGAAAAGAAATACAGACACACTCTACTGCTTTAGTGATCAGCATGACAAAGGAAAGCATGACAGTTTGCATATACTCAGTACCAATTATCTGACATCTTCACATCATAAAACAGGTTTAAAATGCCACAGGGGAGAAAAAATGTTCTTAGCCAAAAGAAAAAATCCCCCCAAACTGTGGTGCTGATTAACATTAGAAGAGTTGGTCAAAGATACTGAGAATTCTTTCAGGAGAATACTTTTTTTTTTTTTTTTTTAAATAAAGGTGAAGTCCCACACCTGTCATGTACAGCTTACATATGGATCTAACAACAAAATATTAGCACACAATACTTCCCATACCCAAGATGTGATCTCAGGACTTTCTGTACCTTATGTGGCAAGCATGATTAACCCTATTTCATCAATAAAAATTCCTAAGTACAAAGAAATAAGAAGGTTCTACAATTCAAAAGTGACATGAGCATCTAGGTTTTTTTTTTTTTTTCTAATGTGGTAAAAAATCCAGGCCAAACATAAGTTTCTAAAATCATTCTGAATAATTGTGAAAATGTCTGATTTAAAATTCTGGAATTTGACTCTAGTTCTTTCATTTCAAAAATGATTCACAAAAATATTGAAAGATCTTCATCATATTCTAAATATTCTTGTATTATTTCTGCAAGTCATATTATTTGCAACTTAGTTGCCAAAACTACAGCTACTTTTTTTTTTTCAATTAGACTTTTTAATGTATTTAGGAAAACAAAGTGTTTGGGGGTAGTTTTTATTTACCTATTCTTGTACGAATAATTAGGGAGAAAGGTATAATAATGCTGAATGAAGTAGTTTTGCCCTAAAATATTGATTTGTCCTAATTATAATCCTACTGCACTGCTTATTTAAGATCTAAACACATAACTTTAATTTAAATGTAGCTGAAAGCCAGAAGAATAGCAATTCAAATTTTAAGAGAAAAATGAGAAGCATTACTACACAGTAATCACTCTCAGCTAAGTATCACATTCATTATCAATAGATTATTTTGTAATATACGTCTATATTTCTAAACAAAACAAAGAAGATAATTACATCATCCCAGTAATAGCAAAAAAGTGACAAAATTCAACTGAAAATAACATGACAATTATGATTGATAACTTAATAACATATAAGCCAAAACTATAAAACATCTTCAAATTTTTCTAAAACATTAAAAATCTCAAAAGCTTAAAAATTATTTTAGTAACTGGATTCCAACTTTTCAGAGCACAAACAATAAAATACACATTTTAATTACTGCATTATTAAATTTTTTCAATCCCCTTTGGTTGTATGAGAGAAAAGAAAAAAAAACTTTTAAATGAATAATTTGGGAATTTTTATTTCATTTTTTTCTTTTCTGCATCATAAATGGGTAAATATTAAAATATAATGGGAATTTTCATAAATATTATTATTCGTAAAGATTTTATTTATTTGACAGAGAGAGACACAGCAAGAGAGGGTAACACAAGCAGGGGGAGTGGGAGAGAGAGAGAAGCAAGCTTCCCGCCAAGCAGGGAGTCCAATACAGAGCTGGATCCCAAGACCCCAGGATAATGACCTGAGCCAAAGGCAGAGGCTTAACAACTGAGCCACCCAGGCATCCCCGTAAACATTATTCTTCATGTGAAAAGAAAATAAAACAATTAACTTGTAATAGTAACAGAATGAGAAAAAATGTGCAAAATACTAAACAGCATGAAAACTAACATAGAATTTCTATCAGTGTTTACTGTTTACCCTCGCTTTGTTTCAGATTATGTAATAAATACTGTTTATACAAATTAGTAGATAAACTATTAATGATGTGCTCTGATAAAATAAAATTAGGAGAATTTAAAGAGTATTAGCCATTCTATGATTTTGAATCTCCGTAATGTAAAGTATTTCCCTACAACCCATTGTAATAATTAAACTATTTAAAATGGTTAAAGGTTTTCAACTTCTGTGACCATCGCCATATCACACTTTGCACCAGAACTGCTGTTTTAACACATAACTGCTGTAAAAATAGACCACTCACATGGGCACGTGACTTGTTTTGAATAGCTTCAGTACTTACTGCTGTCAATGCCTCAATCAGCGCATTATCTTCACCCTCACGATTTTACAACTTAGTGATAAATATAGCAAAAGATGGCTTTTGAAGAACATCTTAGCAATTAACCATGAAATAGTCTTTTTAGAACAAATTGCTAAATTTAAATAACACATTACCCAATAGTCAGATTACATGCTTCAACTGGAAACCTGTGTGTTTAGCTGACTTACTAACATTGATTTATAGATACATTAGCAAACTATTATATCACAATATTAAGCATGTTTAACTCATCACTGAAAGTCACTTTTTATTTGGTCAAGTGTATACACACACACACACACACACACACATAAACACACATATATAAATATACATATATGACTTAACTCTTACTTATCCAATACTTGTATAAGGTCAACTATCCTAATTATCTTTCCAATTATATCTAACAGTGGAATAAAACCAATAAAAGCTTATCTTTTCTGTTTTACAATGAATTCTATCTTTCAGTAAGTGACAATTTCTACCTTTTTAATTTTGTTTCTTTAAGAATTAGTTCTAAAACTATTACTTAAGTTAAAAACTACTGAAGTATATGATTGACATTCATTTTATGGCATATTACTGACCGTCTTTACTCTTGGTTTCAAAACTGTTACACAGGATTATTAAACTGGAATGTCACAAGATCTCCATCAGTTATTTACTCAACAGTGTATGAAACATTGAAAAAACCTCCTTCTCTTGCCACCCCATTCCTTTCATAATTGTTAACTGATTACCTAATATTAAGTTAATCTATTCCTCTACAAAAGAACCAAAAACAAGGAAACTCTTTTGGAGATTACAGTAAATCAGAGTGTTGATTTGCTATATTTCATTTTTTAATGCCATTGTATAAACAAATTTCCCATTAAGAGTCAAAATCAATAAGAACCAGTGTGAAAGTTGTAAAGATCTCATTAATAAGTTTAATTAGTGTTTTATGTTAGCTATATAACAAATACTTCAGATGGTTATGGTTAACTGAATTAGCAAAACTCAAGGAAAAGTCATTTTGCTTTTGTCAGTTTAACTATTTTGAAATAGAAATTTTATGTAATACTGTATTAGCTACTAACGTCAACAAAATCTTGTTTCACATCAAGGTTGGAGAAATAAGTGACCTAAGTAGGAAAAAAAAAGTTTCACATTCAAAGTGCCCATCTTCCTTCCTTTTTTTCACTAGAATGACAAAACAGAACATACTTCAAATCAAGGTTATATCCCTATTAGAAAGGATGATAGAGATCAACAACTAAATAAAAACAACAGTTTTCCTCAAAATTCCGATCCACCAAAAATCCATAAGCAACTAGTCATCTTTAAAGTTTACAGACTGGTAACCATTACTTCTCAAAATGAAAAAGCAGATTAACTCCAGGTATTTCACAACTAACCACTCACTGTGTAAAGAGATTAAACTTTGTTAAGTATAAGAAGTATTTAATTACCATTAATATATATTTCTGTTGTCCACAAATGGACTTTTACTTAAATACATAATGTATGTGGAAGGCACACAGTGTACATGGGCGATGGCCCTTGAAATTAAGAATATTAATATTCTGAGGTGATGCACGGGACTAGTTAAAAAAAAGTGTTACGTCAATATCACAAAGAAGGCTGCATTCTATTGTTAGAAGTTTAATTACAGAAGCTGTCTCATTTATTAATAAACAAGAAATTCAACAATATGACTTCTCATCAACACTTCGTGAACGATTTTTTTGCATTACTCACTAAAAAAGATAGTTATTTTGATCTATGTTAAGTCATGAGTGATGCCCAGACTAACAGATTGCATATACGTGAAAACAAAACATATCACACTACGCAGTGTTTCAGATTTGAAGAAAAGCTTTTACCAACAAACTATTACCACCAGATTGTGAAACTGAACAGGCATCCTTGATAACTCTGCCTGTATACCCCACACACCACCTTAGCAACAGGAGAGAAAAAACAAGAGACTTTAAGTTTCCACGGAGTAAAAAGCTGTTGCTAAGCAAAAATTACAACCAAAAATATAGAAAGCTGTAGCTTGTTTCTTGAGAACTACTTCACAAGTTTAAGGATTTCATTGGCCCAGATCACTTTACTGTAGATACCCAAACCGGATGAAAAGCAAAAACAAATCCCAGGGACTGACTTGTACCAAACCCACCTCCGCACCCCACAAATGAACAGTTACCTTTCATACACTTCAAGTCAAAATCAACCTAAAGACCAACTGAGATTGTTTTCTCTTCCTCTTGACCTCTCTTATACTTCTTTTCTAGTTTATTTTACTTTCATCCATGTCCTTAGTTGGGATCTTAAAACAAGGACTATCCAAATCCCAAAGTCTCAATTCCTAAAATACGCGCCCTGCAAATACTTGAGAGAAAACCTAAGGCTACCCTACACTTGCTTCCCTGGGTCCCCGCGAGGTGCTCGCCTTACCAATCCTCTTGTGAGCTCTCTCCGGATGGCACTTACCTGCTGCTCCCCGGGTTCCGTGGATTTCACCAAGTGCTTATCCTTGTACAGAGACCAGAGACCAATATTGGGCAGGAAAATTAAAGCCACCATGAATAACAAAGTCATCTGCAGAAATCTCTTCTGTTTCCTCTTCATTGCAAATGGTAACAGAGAAGAAAAGTTAAAGGAGATGGCTCCCTGACTGCTTCTTGTGTTTAACGCCAAAGTCCTTTCCTCTCCCCTGCGAAGCACCAGAAACTGAGGAGAAGCTAAAAACTTTTGTTGCGTGCTCAGCACCAATCTGCACGATTCAGAGGGAGTTGGGCATCTGCAGAACAAACACACAGTTACTTTCCCCCCGGAAAACTATGACGAAGGCATTATCTATTGGCTTAGAAGTAAATGAGGAAATCCTTAAACCTCCTTAATATAAAGCAGTGGAGTAAAATACGGTCATTTGACCCATAATCTTAAGTTATGAAAGTCTACAGCATGCTACATACGTAAGAACACAGGAGTTGTGGTGTCCTCCCCGCCTTAATGGGGAGGGTTGGGTTGGAGAGGAGCGGGTCAGTTGGGGGAACTGCGTGGGGGGAAAAGGCTCAGCCCCAGCAAGTGTCAGGAAGAAAAGCGTCCGCTTTTGACATTGGAACATCACCTTCCTCGTCCTCCCTGCACGTCTGTCTCCTCCTGTGCTGCCCCTGGAATGACCCACCTGGACTCAAGTTCAACTCCCTCTGAAGCCAGCGTGCTGGCGGGCTCCACTCGGATCCAGGGACTCGGACACAGGAGCACAACTCCTGTTTGGATGGAGGTCCCCAAACTCCTGGATGCTCGCGCGCGGTCTAAACTCTCCCCGCCGGCAGCGGCTCGCGAGCGGGGAACCTGCTGGAAGGGAGGCTACAGATGTCAGCGGAGTCCAGCCAGGAAGTGGAGGCGCCGTGCCGTTTCGCCTCGCGCAGCCCTCGGAACGTGATCTTCCGCGAAGTAAGCGCTCTGCCCATCAATCTCTTCCCCTTCCCCCGTGACGCTCTCACGCTCCGCTGTTCATGTTACCATTCTCTAACAGCGACTGAGCGAACCCAGAGAAACATCACGAGCACCTAAAGGGCGGTGTGCTCAAGCTCCCCTCCTGTGAGGGGGATGGAGGGAGGCGAAGCCGAGTCTGCGCTGGGCTGGGCCGTGGGCGAGGGCGCCGGGGAGGGCGAGCAGCAGGCGAAGCTGCGCGGCGCTGGCTCCCGGCCGCCCGCTCCCCGCTCGCGGCTGCCTGCCTTCCGCGGAGACGCAGCCGGTACCGACCACGTGCGGGAGCCCGAGCCCGGGAGAGGAGGGCGGGCCGCCTGGAGGGGGTGGGCAATTCCGCCCAGCTTCCGGACCCTATATAAACAAACCCTGCCGCGAGGAAGAAGAGGAGGGCGAAGGCGCTGCACGACGTGGGCTGGCAGCGGACAGTCTCCGCGGAGCCTTTCTCGGCCGGGGCCTTTCGGGGCAACCTCAGACCGGCAGAGCTACCACCTCTCCCACTCATCTCACCCAAAAGGCGCCAGGCCAGAGACTCTGGAGAAAAAGTCGCCGGCGCCCGCGGGTTTACCCCGATTCTTCCATGGTGCCGGCGGGAGCTCAGCGAGCCCGTACGCGGAGGCGGCGGTGGCCCTGGGAGATGGAGGCGAACCGAGGCTGGGCAGGTCCTGCCGAGAGGGACTTCTCGGGCACGTGTCCTGCCGCTCAGGCCAGGTACGTGGTGCGGGGGAGGAAGAGGATCCCGAAGCGAGGCAGGGCTGAGGCTCGGGGTTCTCAGGCAGCAGCTTCTGGAACGGCTCCCGCGGAGACCCACGGCGCTGTACTTGGGTCTGCAAACACCGGAGCCCCGTTAAGATTTGGCTATGCCGCCGCGCTCCATCCCCGCCCCGCTCGTCCGCCCTCCGCGCTCTTTATCACTGTAAGGCTACCTGTCCCTCCGACCTCGCACACTCCTCCCATGATACCCGGAAAATGTGGGGATCCAGGTGAGTCTCTGGCAGAAGGGACTCCTCCCTCTCCCCAACATATAGATACACCAGCGCCTCCGAGCGCACACGCGTGAACCTGGGTGGTCTCTCCAAGAGACCTCCGTGCCTAGCAGCGTGCATTAGATACTCTTGGGATCCAGAGCTCATAACTCCTGAAGGAATGGGGACTGAGCTGAGGCGACAGGCATGCATGCAGTGCCCCCTTGTATCAGCTCTGTCTAGAACCAAAAAGAAGCGCCATGGCCATCTCTTTGTTACAAGCTAGATACGATGCCCACATACTTGGGATAGATGAGATGGTGGGCCCCAGAACGGTATTTTGGTATTTTCTCTCTCGCTCGCTTGCTCCCTATTCTACCCCTCCCTCTGCCTCCCACTTCTACTCTCTCTATCCATGGCTCACTTGAGAACAACACGGATGTGAGTGTGAAGAGTTATGCCTTCAACTCCTCACGCTATGATTTTAAAAATGTATTTCAACAATATATATTGGCTGTATGACTGCGTGAATAAAGCTTTGTGCTACAATATTTGTCTTTGTGAATCACTCGCATTTCAAGAGTATATATATAAACACGATTCGTAAGTGTTTTTAAATATGCCCTTTATGTAATGACCAGTTACCCTTCAACTTTGCACAAATGCAAGAATCCAGAGAGCAAGAGGCGTAATTCCTCACCACTCCTGACACACACACACACACACACACACACACACACACACACTGCCTTTTGTATTCTGCATTATTTTCTAATCTTTTTCTCTCTTAGCAAGTGCAGTTCTGAAACATAGTAATGTGAATTCTGAGAAGCAACATAGCAGGGAGAGATTTTGCTGGGAGGCTTGGTCCTCAGGGAAAGATTTTGGGAATTATTTAAGTACATTGGACATTTTCTGCCTTATAGATAACTTATTAACAATTAGGAAATAAAAGTACTCAAAAGTAAACTTGGAATTAAAAAATATTAAAAACCCTCCACATTTTAAATAATACTGGTTTCTTCATACCCCCATGCCCCCCCCAAAAAAGCCCTGGATCACAAATAGGCATATTGTCATATTGTCACTCTGTTTGCTAAATCCAGGGTTCTGACTTGAATTGTGCTTCATTATTGTTACACTAGTAAATGGGCTTGCAAACAGTACCTGTTCCCAGAATATTGTTAGTTTCAGTGACTGGATATAATAACTTACTTCCCACATCAAGTACATGCAGAATACATGGCAGAAACTGAAAGAGAAAATTATTATGTTCACCCCTTTTACTGTGTAGCTCCAAACAATAACTTCTGCTTTTTCCTCCCTTTATTTGTTTACTTATTTATCTTTTTATTTATTTATTTCAGTCTGATCATAATTTCCCTTCAGTCTGGTCTTTTACAATTCCATGTATAAATTTCCAATAGATGACCATGCTTCTAACTAAAATTGATATTTTAGGTTCAGTTTACAAACAAAACACAACACACACAAAATGACAGTTAATTCCTTTGTAGATTAAATAGAAAGACACATTCTTTTTACATTAGTTATTAATATTGGTTTAATCAAAATCCTGTCTTTAAAATTTGTCTTATATCAATGTTCCCTTTTTACCACTGTTTGCTTCTCCATTTTTTTATAATTCAACTGGAAAGCCCAGGTAATCAGAATTCCAGGTGTCTAGCAATGTGTTAATAGCTACAGGGACACATGGGAAGCAAATACAGCAATATCTGTGACCATGAATAATTTACAGTATAGTTGAAAAAGTAATATAAAGGCGATTGGAATAAATTGGAAAGAAGCAAAAGGATACTGCTTTAGTTATAGCTCTACTCCAAACTTTGATGACTTAAAACAACTATCTCACTGTCACTCCTGATTCTTTGCATTTGAATGGTCCCAGTTAGACCGTTCTGCTTTGAGTGATAAAGGCTGGGTCCTGGGGGCTTAGAACTTGCAGGGCCAGGATGGCTCCCTCCCCTGGGTTGCAGTTGGCACTATCAGCCGGAAGATCATCTGGGGCAGTCATTTGGAGCCCCTGAATTCTCTACATGGCCCCTCCAAATAGCCTGAGCTGCTCACAGCATGGTAGCCAAGATGCAAAAGGGAACATCCCAAGAATCTGTGTTCCAAGAGGGTGAGAACAAAACTACTGAGCCCTCTTAAAGACGCAGAATTGTTACCACCTCACTTTTGCGATAGTCACAGGACCAGCCCAGATTCTCTGGAGTAGAGGGTGGTGAAACTATGGGGAACAAACTGATATCTCAGTGAGAGATTTGATGACAAGTATATGGCCATTTTTAACCCACTATAGATACTCAAAGGCACAGAGGTAGGAATTCCTAAGGAAGACCTAACCGGATTAGACAGTAGATGATGAGGTATAGTGGGGGAAAGTTTTCATAGGTTGGATTGATGCAAATTATTCATTTTCTGTAAAGATAGTGAATTAACTTTTACTTTAAAATGGGTTAATTATGTGGTGCCTGGGTGGCTCAATTAGCTAAGAGTCTGGCTCTTGATTTCAGCTCAGGTCATGATACCAGGATCAGGAGAGCACCCTGCATAGGGCTCCATGCTCAACTGAGAGCATCTGCTTCTCTCCTTCTCCCTCTGTCTCTCTCTGCCCCCCACCCCCATTCAGTCTCTCTCTCAAATAAATAAATAAATCTTTTTTAAAAATAGGCTTATTACCTCACTTTCCAGTTCTAAATACTAAGGATGTTATGTACACCACGATGACTAAAGTTAACATTGCTATGTGATATACAGGAGAGTTGTTAAAAGATTAGATCCTCAGGGTCCTCATCACAAGATTTTTTTTTTCTTTTCTTTTACTTTATATGAAAAGATGAATGTTAACTAAGCCTATTGTAATCCTTTCACAATATGTACATAAGTCGAAACATCATGCTGTATACCTTAAACAGTGATGCATGTCAATTCTCAACAAAACTAGGAAATTAAGTTTATTATTTTATTTAAAAGACAAATGACATGATTGGAACTTAATTGGAAAGAGAACATTCACCTTGGGTCTTAATATGGTGGGGTTTATTTTCACTGACCTGAGTTTTTTCCAAGGTTTTATCAGAAGGAAGAGGTACTAGAGCGTAAAGATAATGTGTCTATAAATGGAGGTATATTCCAGTTTTCTTTTACCCAATGATGATGTCTGGAAAAATTTCAGGAAAAATCCTGAAAGTTTCCACTCTAAATAAACTACTAGGATATTTTATTATTAGCGTTACCTTTAGCTAAGTTATCTCAGTTTTTAAAGAAAAATTCATCTACATTGAAAATCAGGAATATATTAAATAGCAATTTTAGTAAAAGTATATCTAAAGTATACAATTCATTTTTGTGGCATTAAATTAAGACATGGAGGAATCTTCTTCATTTTTTTTCCGGTATTTCAATGTGTTCCACTACACAATAGAAGGAAATAAGAGCCAACTTAAATATCAAAATGTGATAATACCCAATCTCTATCATTGCTGAAATTCTTCACCAAAAAAGCCCTGAGTCAATTTCTATATATATGCAAGTGCTGTTGGGCAGAGGATACAAAGATGAACATTCTTGCAGAATTTTCAGCACTGCAAGGGAATTAAAGGTGTTTGCAAATTAAATGTGGTACAAATTAAAAAGTGACAAATGCTAAAAGATAAGGAAGGTTCTTTCTTCTTGGCCTATTTTCTAACTAGATAAGATCTTCACTTTATGGTATTTAAACTCTTAATAGTCAAATTTGTC